CCCCTACCCCCCCCCCCCCCCACGTTGCCCTTCTCTCCCCGCCGTCCGCTTCTCTCACTCGGCCACCCCTCCACTCTCCCACCATATACTCTATATCCTTGACCACATCCTCTACTCGACCAGAGGTTTCTGCTGCCCAATTACCGAAAGTGCCGCCCTGTTTTAGTATATATAGGATTGCTGCCTAGGGTTACCATCGTCCCCTGGATTCCCTCCTGGTCTTGGAAATCAGACTGTCGGATAGACTTTGCTGTTGTCGCACTTGTCCGTCATAGTAGGTTTCCACCTATACCAATTTCGGAACGCTATATAGAGCTTCAGGGCTATCTTTTTTTTTTTTTAAAAAAAAGACCTCTCAATTTCGATTACACTTTTTTCTGACATTTCTTCACCTTAGTTTCGACTAAACCTTTCCTAAAGGTGTGTATAACATTTTTTTATCGTTCCTGCGGTATATATAATACTCTGCAAGCTCGGTCCGTTCGCCTTCTTCTTCTTCCTTTTTCTTTGGCCTTACTTTTTTATCTTCCTTCCCCTGCTTTGATCTGTCGCACAAGGTTATCGTTTCTTTATGCTTCTCTGCATTGAGGGACGAGGCGAGCGATGGAACCATCTTTTGTTTGGCTGGCCTTAGAATCATCGTGAGAGCTGACGGATGGCCTGATAGGAGACTACTGAAACGCTACAAATAGCACCGCCTCATCGGTGCTGTTTTACCATTCGTCTCTGCCTTCCTAGGGTGACCCAAGCAAGAGATTAAATAAAGACTGTCCTCTTCATAAATCAAAGAGAATATGGCTTCCTTTGAGCCATGCCAGTATCAGCCATCACCCGCACTGGCCCAGCAAACTGGGTTACATGCAGACCTGCGGCTACTCCCAGCCAGGAGCGAGTCCCCATTGAACCCAATTGATCGCTACGTTGCGGACGAACCTACCGGTGTCTTGGTCACCGACGGCACTCGAAACCTGTGTCCCCCCCAGCCGCTGATGTTGCCGTACGATATCGCATACAGCAATACGGGGAGCAATTTCCAGTACCCGTATCGGGGTCTAGCGGATGACGAGTCCTCGGGGAGTGGGAACAATAGACTCTACTATCCTACTTTCGCAGCGCCGACCGACTCTTCAAGCGGATCTCCCGGGGAAGACGACTATCGCCAGCAGAGCTCCGCTGCTACTAGCCCGGATCATCCCGGCTTAACATTTCCGGAGCCCTCGTGGGGTCAGGAGAACAACCCCATGCCGCGAACTAGTGATTCGAATGCACCCGTGGACCCGGAACTGGCACCGAATGACTTTGTGTGCCCGAGGGAAGTTCATCACATCTCCCCCTGCGGGGACGACCGGAGTCAGGGGGGGCATGACGACTCCATGGAAGATGACGACGGGAACTGCTACGCATACTCGCAGGACATGCCTATGACCCTTCAACCATACTATAGTCGGCCATGCTATCAATACGATCGGGCCCCTCCCCCAGTAGGGGTGTTCCCACGGCAGCACGATGACCCTCCGAACCACGATCATTCCTACCCCTCAGCGCCAGTCTCCAGGCAGAGTTCGCCTTCTAAAGCTTTAAAATTAAGATTAAATAGGGAAAATAGGGAGCGCCGGAGTAAATACCCCCCAGATATGATGCAGCCGTGTATCGCAAGGCCCGGTGAGGGTGAGAAAGGCCGGAAGGCCCCGAGTGAGAAGACTCGGGGTCGGGGTGCGGGAAAGAAGACGAAGGAGAAGAAGGTCTGTCGTATGCACCCAACCAAAGTGTTTAACCACGCCTCGGACTATAAGTATGGCCCCCCCCTCACCCCTCTTATTGCCTGGCAACGGGCTGACCACAACTCGCTTGGCCATCAGAAAACACATGAATCAGCAACACCTCCGACCATTCCTCTGCGTATTCTACTTCGCAGGCTGCGGTCAAACATTCGGCAGCAAGAACGAATGGAAGCGCCACGTATACAGCCAACACCTCCAGATTTCCTACTGGACTTGCGACAACGCCATGTGCGCTGACAGGAAGGCGATCTTCAACCGAAAAGACCTCTTCGGACAGCATATCAAGCGTATGCACCCGGCCCCAGCGGGCCCCAAAACTTCCACCGCAGCCTACACGGATGAAATGATCGAGCGTTGCCGCGTGGAGCGCCGAAAGCCGCCTCAGAAGAGCAGGTGCGGCTACTGCAGTCAGCCGTTTGAGGGGCCGCAGAGCTGGGACCAACGGATGGAGCATGTCGGCCAACACTACGAGAAAAACAACTACAAAGGCATCTCCCGCGAGCTCTGGTCTCCGGATGAAGGTCTTATCGAGTGGGCTTTGAGCCATGGGATCATCGAGGATAATGGGGGTGGTGTTTATGCCATTCTTTCCACGGGAAAGGACGCTATCGTGAAGGCTGGGGTTGAGCAGAAAAAACTGGCGAAGGAGGAGATGGCGAGGGAGGGGGAGATGGCGAGGGCTCGGAGGTATGCGGATGGTGATATCGATGATGTCGATGATGATGAGAGAGATGCTGAGGGCGAAGATGATTACATCTACCGATAAACCTCAACAGGCGCCAATGTCATCCCCTCCTCGAGGTCCCTCGGGTCACATATTAAGAAATTTGCTGGAAACTTCCTTGCCTAGGTCTTCCAAATTGGCTTTTCTACCTCCTCTGCCTTACTTCCTTACTCCTTTCGTCTTCCATCCCCTGTTTTCTGCTTTTCGACCACCGATTTCAGATTTCCTCTATTTCCTCTCATTTTTGTCATTCTTCGGTATATATGGTTGCTTGGCTATAGACGGATGTTTTCTCGGATTCCTCATTTTATTTCTTTCACAAAGAAGGGCGTGACACTGTTCGGGTTGGGCTGGGTTGGATCGGTTGTTTGGGTCTGTTTTTCTTCTCTTTTTTTTCCTCTTTCTCTTTCTCTTCTCTTTCTCTTTCTCTCTCCCTCTTTTTTCTTCCCCCGACTCGTATGGGGAAAAGAAAAAAAAAAGGCATCTGGAGGACCGGTGGGAAGGGGTTTTTTTTTTCCTGATTTCTGAGACACCCTATTTGTCTACCTATTTCAATCTACTCCCCAATAGGTTATGTGAAATCTGATCGGGTCGAAAGGAGTTACTTTTTTGACAAGAAAAAAAAAACACCCCTGTTGCGATGTGATTTCTACGAGTAGAGTCTATTCTACCTGTCGAATTGTGTGAGTCTAGTCAACCACTCACTCACCTTGTGTCACTCGCGGGGTGAAACATGTAAATCAGGAACTTCCCGACCGCTTGTCTCAATAAGCCAACCAACTAACCAACACACCGATCCGGAGGCCAGCGGGGGGGGACAAGTGAGTGGCAGTGAACGCCAATATCATACCGGTTGCTACAATACAATACCACGACCCTCCCCAGAACCTCATCCACCGATAGCAGAAAAAGAGATGAAATCAAAATCGGTCATGAGAGTCTCTCCACCCCCCCCCCCCCCCAGCCTCATTCCACAGAACACAACCTTAACGGTACATACATACATGCATACATACACAAGTGCTGGTCCGGGGCCCACCTCTCACAGAGTCCATCCCACCCGTCAAAGTGCCCGGAAAGGCGCCCCGCAGTGGCGATGAGAATGAAAAGAAGGGAAAAAGGAAAAAAGAAAAAAAAAAGGGCTCTTAACCAACGGATAGAAAGATCATCCTGCGGTGCGATACAACGATACGGTACGATGCGATATGCCTGAGGCTCCGAAAGGCGCAGAAATTCCGGTCGGAAGACGAGCAAGGTCTTGGCGGGTGCTATACCCGCAATACAACCTTACCGGTACGATATAATTTACCAGTCCGAACCTGACGGTGCGACGGGATAAAATAAATGAATACAGATGAAAGGGAGATTGTACTATACTGTGCAGTACTGTACTGTACTCGTATACTGCTTGTATATATGTGTGTGTGTGTTTATGCACGCCTAGTTTAATAACTATTATTTCTGGCTCGATGGCTTGATGGCTGTCGACCGGCCGGCTACTGTAGCCAGCGCCAACGTTTAGGCTTTCCCTTCGCTCGCTTCCCCCCCCCCCCTCTACTTATCCTTATTCTTATCCTTATTCTTATTCTTAGTCTTAGTCTTATTCTTATTATTCTTGCCGTTTTGTTGTCGCCGGCTCAGCCTTGCAGCTTCGGGACTGTACCCCGCTCGGCCAGACCGTCGTGCTACGTGGTACGATGGAGCACCGTAACTAGCACAGTGCAGTTCTGGAGAGCAAGAGAGCTGACCGCGAGTGATTTTTTGTGATTGGTAAAGTGTGCGTTGTGTGCGTGTGTGTGGGAGGGACCCTTTTACGGATGGGAACGAGGAGGATGTGTTCTATTCCTTCCTTCACAATCCACCTGGTTCTTGGCACGGTTGTAGGGTTTGTTGTTGTCGTTATTGCTGTTGTTGCTGTCGGGTCGAGGGCTCATAGAGTCATCATCCCGGAGGTGCGTACGTTTACGTTACATGCATGTAATGTAATGTATAGATACTTGATTACATCGACCC